AAGACTCCGAGGGCTGGAGACTCTGCCCTGTCCCTGGGGCAGTGATTCCCAGGGTCAGTTCCCCTCCCTGGGGAAAATCTGCCCCTTATTCCCAGTCTTGATTTGTCTGGCTTTATCCCCCAGCCATCAGCTCTCACTCTGCCCCTGTCTGTTGGGTTGATGAGTCCTCTGCTCCCCGAAAGCTCCTCCCCAGGGAGGTGCTCACAGACCAGGATCTAATCTGCTTGTCTCCTTCTCTGGGAGAAACTCACTAGATCGAGCTCCTTCAGTCCTTGGCTCTTGGGCAGGTTTTCCAGCCTTCGGATAGTTCCTATTGCTCTTCTCTGACCCCTCCCCGATTTCCTGAAGTCCTGCTGCACAAAGACTAGTGGCGAAAGCCGGCCTCCTGGGTTCTTTATCCAGCTCTGGGAGGGGAGCGGGTGTGACGCTCTGTAACCTCGGGGGAACATCCAGCACCCCATGTTCATCCTTGTAAAATGATTGTGTGGTATCTAATGCAAAGTTTGTCATGTCGGGTGTCTTGGGAAGGCTCATGATGCACTGAGCATTGTTGTTACAGTAATGTTATAGTAAAGTTATGTTATAATTTCATGTATGTAGTTATGAGCCTGATGTATCCTCATGGCTTAAAATAAGCCCAGGAAAAAACTCTCCAAGAGCAGGGGCAGTTCACACCTCATCAGGGCAGGTATGGGACAAACTCAGCCCAGCCTCACAGGAACAAAGGACGCTGGCCTAGGCAGCAACAAAAGGATCTGATGGGCTCTTGAGTGAGTCACCCCCTTTCCTTAGGCCTGTTTGGGACTGCGATGAGGTAATGCTCACCTGACTCTGAAGGGGGGGGCAAAGCCAAGAGAGAAGAAAGAACATGATAAAAGGGAGAGACCTTTGCCATGCTCTTCCTCTCTTCCACCTACATCTACAGACACTACATCAAGCGACTGAAGCGCTGATCAAAGGGGAGAGTCTGGCTGAAGAGCAATCAGCCAGCCTGTGGTGAGAAGCATTTAAGTTTGTAAGGACATTGAAAGTGTTAAGATCTCTTAGAATGCGTTTTGCTTTTATTTCATTTGACCAAATCTGACTTGTTGTGCTTTGACTTATAATCACTTAAAATCGACCTTTCACAGTTAATAAATCTGTTTGTTTACTTTACCTGGAGCACTGCATTTGGTCTGAAGCGTGTCAGAGACTCCCTTTGGGATAACAAGCCTGGGACATATCAATTTCTTTGTTAAATTGACGAACTCATATAAGTTTGCAGTGTCCAGTGGGCATAACTGGACACTGCAAGATGGAGGTTCCTAGGGTTGTGTCTGGGACCGGAGATATTGGCTAGTGTCATTCGGTTGCACAATCCAAGGAGCAGCATACATGCCAGAGGCTGTGCATGAACAGCCCAGGAGTGGGGGTTCTCACAGCAGAGCGGGGTAAGGCTGGCTCCCAGAGTCAAGGATTGGAGTGACCTAGCAGATCACCAGTCCAGATAACAGCAGAGGGGAACGTCACAGCGGGGTCTACAGGTTAGAGCGGGGAGCTGGAAACCAGGACTCCTGGGTTCTCTCCCTTGTTCTGGGAGGGGAGTTGGGTCTTGTGGTTAGAGCAGGGGGACTGGCAGTGAGGACTTTTTTGTTCTATCTCTGGCTTTGGGATGAGTGCAGGTCCAATGGGTTAGAGCGGGGGGACTGGTAGTCAGGACTCCTGGGTTCTATGCCTGGCTTGGAGAGAGGTGTGGGGTCTAATGGTTAGATCGGGGTAGGGGGGTAGGGGCTTTTCCCTGATAGGCGGCTGGGTGGAGTGAGCTGTGAGCATCTCAGACCTGTTCCTAGCAAACGTGTCTGAGGCACAAAATTGACACCAGGGCTGGCTGAACTAGAGGGGAGGTGGGCATTAGCAGGGAGGCCATGAGCATGGGGTACAGCAGTGGTTCTCAAACTTTTGTATTGGTGACTCCTTTTACACAGCAAGCCTTTGAGTGCGACCCCACTTAGAAATTAAAATCACCTTTTTTATGTTTAATACTATTATAAATGCTGGAGGTGACAGCTTGTGACCCCCCCATGTAATAACCTCACGACCCCCAGTTTGGGAACCCCTGGGGTACAGAATGGCTCAGCAAAAACCCCAGAGGGAATTCAGTCTCCAGGGCACATGCGCTGCGCCTTATTTTTGTTTCCAGGTGGCACTGTTACAAATTGCGTAGGGGCCACCACGGGGCCTATGGTGTGACCCACGTGAATGGGGAAAATGCAAATTGCAGTTCCCAGCAGGCCCCGCCCCCCCGAACTACAGCTCCCGGCGGCCCCTCCCCCAGACTACAGCTCCCGGCGAACCACGCCCCCACAGAACTATGGGCCCCGCCTCCCCGAACTACAGCTCCCGGCAGGCCCCGCGGCTCCCATCGGGCTTTGCGGCAGCGGCTGGCGCGCCCGGCTGTTCGGGTCGCGGCATGGAGCGGGGCGGACCCGCGCTGGAGCTGAAGCTCTGGGCGGCCCAGGAGATGGGGCTGCCCCCCGCGAAGGTGCCCCCCGACGGGGCCTTCCGCCGGTGAGAGCCCCGGGCCCCCCAGCGCGGGATCCCCCCGGCTCCTCCCCCCGCTCCCCGGGACTTCCCCCGGCTCCTGTTCCCCGGGTTCCCGTTTCCCTCCTTGTCCGCCCCGGGCTCCTGCGGCTCCCTCCCCCGGCCCCCCTCCCTGCTCCCTCGGGGTCCCCGCTTTGGGAGGCGGCCTCGCTCCTTCCTCGGACCCCCCTTGCCCCCTCTCCTTGGTACCTCCCTCCCTTCCTGCCCCAGCCCCCCCCGCCTATCATACCCCCCCCCGGGACCTCTCTGCCAACCCCCCTGCCCTATGGCCCCCACCCCATCTGGCCCCATTCATTATGTCCCAGCTGTGGGGCCAGAGCGCCCCCCCCCGCTCTCCCCCAGAAAAGGGCCTGCCAGCCCCGGAGATGTTACCCCCGAGCCCTGTGAGGTTACCCGGATGAGCCAGGCCTGGAGGGGGGAGGGAAGGAAAAGGGGCGGGGGGGATATACAGCCCTGGAGCGAGGGCCTCCCATGCTCCTTGTAGAGGTTTCCAGTCGTGTCCCCCTTGTCTGACGCTGTCGCTCTGTATCCCCAGGATGTGCTCAGGCCAGTGTGCGGAGATCTGGAGATACCTCTGGTGGTGCACGTGCCGGGTGAAGTGAGAGGAATGGGGCGTGGGGCCTTTCCCCTCAAAGGGCCGCTGGCTCCCATCCGTGGGGGACTGGCTGGCTCAGGGAGGCCGGGAATGGGACATGGGGCCTTCTGCTTTTCAAGTCTCCTCCTAGAGCCAGGGGTAGAACCCAGGAGTCCTGGCTCCCGGTCCCCCCTGCTCTAACCACTGGACCCCACTCCCCTCCCAGAGCCATTGCTGTTTCTGCAGTAGATTCACCCCTCTCTCTTTCCTCACAGGAATGTGAAGACGATCCGAGGGAACTTGCTGTGGTATCCTTTCCTCATCCCCCTCCGCCTTGGGGACTTGTTACTATGGGCAACTTTCTCACCAAGGGGCCCATCCAGCCCAGTGTCCCACCCTGTCCCTGCCCCCTAGATCAAGCCCCTGGGCCCATCCAACCCCTGGGGGGGAGAAGGTTTAATTTCCTTCCTGACCCTTGGCTGGCGTCTGTCTCTTGGCCTTGGACCCCCCCCAGCCTGTTGGCTCCGACCTCTCCCTGACGTCTGTCTGTCCATCCAGGCCTCTGTCCCTCTCCACGTTCAGTCTCCTTTACTCAGGCCTTGCCTCAGGTACCAGCATCTGGAGGAGGCAGAGGTGAGGGGGCCGGTGGAGACTGCTGGTTGAATGGGGCATGGGGCAGGTGTGGATAGGGGCGTGTGGGTGAGGGCTGTTGGTGGGACGGGACAAGTGTTGTGGGTGGGATTGGGTGATGCTGTGCGGTGTGGTGGGTGGGGGCAGTGAGTAGGGGATAGTAATCTGGATTTGGAGGGGCGGGGAAGGGGATCAGGGTGCTGTGGGGTGGAACAGGGGCCCTGCCGTGGGGTGAGCAGGATGCCTGGGTCTATAGCAGTGGGTGGATGGGGGGCACACTCAGAGGCGGGGCTGTCCAGGAGAAGCCCCACCCCCAGTTGGTGTCTCCCCCGCCCTACAGGGAAAGCCCAGCGGGTCAGAACCGGAGCAGGAGTGGTGCAGTTGGGCCTGCAGATGGAGATGGCCCAGCGCGAGGTCATGGCTGACGGTAAGGGGGGAGCCCCAAGGATCTGGGGGGCCAGCATAGTCTGCGCCCCCAGCGCGCTATACCCCAGCCCATCGCTCTGGGGGTAGGGGGCACAAAGTCCACCCCAGTCCTCCCATCTGTTCTCCCCCAACACACAGTGGGATCGCCCCCCTGCAGCCCAGATCCATTTCCCCCCCCTCCTTGGGGGCACCATCTCCCCACGTGGTCTCTTCCCTAGCCGCAAGGTTCCCGTGGCCCATGGGGCTGCTGCTTTTCCCCCCCATGCTCCCTCCCCAGAAATCACCTGTGGGGTTCACACCCATCACCTCAGGATTTCTGGGTTCTGTCTCCTACTCTGGGAGCGGAGCAGGGGAGGGGGAGAGGCTGGGAGCCAGGACTCCTGGGTTCTATCCCCAGCTCTGGGAGGGGAGTGGGACCTAGCGGTTAGCATCTGGGGCTCGGGGTGAGATTTCCCTGACGCTCTTTCTCCTCACACCCCGCAGAGGTCTCCCTAGAGGTGGCCTAGGAGTGGATCCGCGACACCCAGCGCCGCTCCCTGCTGCTCAAGGCCTATGCGGCCCGCACGGCCAAGGAGCGCCAGCAGCTGCAGG